GTGACACTGAGCCAGCATGCACATTGCCAGGACCCTGAAACTGTTGCAGCTAAATGGAATTCAGCTGTGATTAATTTTATTATGTACACCTGTTCATGTCAAAATATCTTCAGGTAAATCTGGGAAGCACAATTCAGTCATGTGTTACATAAAAAAAATAAAAAAAAATAAAAATGTAGCTAATGCTGAACAAATTAAAACCATAAGCAAAATTAAGATTTATACCTTTTTTAAAGGAACTGTTCCACATTGTGGGAACTGCACGTATTCCTTTTCTTGCCAGAGAATAAGAAGAAGATCAATATCACTCTCCTGTAAGATAATTACATAGGTGGGGCCAGCAGCCACTTAGCTTAGCTTATCAAAAAGACTGGAAACAAGAAAACAACCAGCCTGGCTCTGTTCAAAGGTAAAGAAATCTGCCTACTAAGACCTCTGAAGCTCAGTGAATAATACGTTATATCTCATTTGTTTAATCCATAACAAAAAAAGTGTAAAAACAAGTACACAAAATGTGTTACCAGCCATGCTAGCTGTTTTCCTATTTCCAGTCTATACGCTAAGCTAAGCTACCCAGTTGCTGGTTTTAGCTTTATAAACTCAAAGAAATAAGTTAGGTTAGATTTACGTATTTCAATCACATATAAAGTTTCCATCTAAATGAGTCAAGTAGTTCTAACATAAATCAAAAAATACCTCTCATGTAATTGAATCAAAATGAGATGAATAGTCTGTGAGAATATATATATATATATAACCATAGCTCATAGAATTTACCTAATTTACTTAATTAAAGTTGTTGTAATGTCTGTTAATACATTCAGTGTATTTCAGATATGTTATTGAATTTGTTAAGTGATTACATAAACCTTTATAAAGTACATTAGGTAAATTCTACGAGCTATTACATAAATTCATTCAGTCTATCTCAGTTTTATTTGATTAAATTACATGAATGGTACTTTATAGTTCATGTTAGAGGTATTTGACTGGAATGCAAATGTACGTATATGTTATTGAAGTACATATTTGACAATAGATCAGCTTGTAACTTGTAGAGTTGTATTGATCTACTCATCTAACTCTCACAGCAAGAAACCTAATAGCTTTAGTTCCTCTGGCCTTAGGAAGGACTCACAATTTTGTGCCCCATATTACAAAGTGTTACCAAATGAATATATGTATTTTCCAAAATGTCAGACCATATCTTTAAGACAGATGTTTAGATAGTCAAACACAGCTGTAACTACAGTAAAGGCCACATTCCATTCAGGTGTGTCACTTTCAGATATTAAACATGAGGCTCACTTTCATGGCTTAGTGGTAAACCTAGATGGGAACACAGCATATCATTAATATTATTGGTTACACCTGTGCTGTTCCTGCTGCGACACATCTGCTGTGAGAACCTACTGCACGGGATAACTCATGCACACAATCCTGAATCAGATCAGATGCTTTGTGACGAATCAAAGACACTGCAAACTATTTAAAAAAAATCATAATTACCCCCAAAATGACTGCTAATCATTTAGCATTCTGTCCTGCAGAAAAAAAAACATGCATTCCTGTCTGCATTCCAGCTCCAGTTGGCTCCATAGCTTTCCTTCACAAAAACCACAGGACCTTCACATGAGCACAAAGGATCTCTTTGAATGCTTAAGTCTTAGAACAGAGACATTAGGGCCAGGGTCCCTCCTCAGCTGATTGGCCCTGTGCTGGCCATGGGCCATAATGATGCTGGACCAACATGATAACAATCAGTACTCAAACAGAAAAGCTGAAAGTACATAGTGAGTTAATATGATATATGTGTTTATCAGCTGGCAACATTCAAGCACTGTGTGGGAGATCCAACACAGCCTAATGGATCAGCCTGATGTTCCGATTCAATTCATAAGGTAAATAAAAATCTGAAATACCCTATCCACCTCCCTCCTTCCACCTGATGTCACAGCCAACAGCTCCTCTGATTGGCTGAGACCACAGCCCACCAGCTGTTTGTAATCAGGAGCATTTGGGAGTCAGGATCACATGACACCCTCAAGGCGCACATGCACGCACAGATATATACATAGAGGGTGCAGTGCATCTTTAACCCCATACCCCTTCCCACAGGCTACTCTTTTGCAGCCAGGATCACCTCCAGATGTGCACACTGTGTTCTCACCTCAGGATAAAAAATTAAAAAAAAAAACGGGGGAGGGGTGCAGCACAAGGAGGGAGGGGACAGTCCAGTGAAAATGGAAACAGCTCCAAGAAGTTGGGAGGGAGAGGAAGGAGGTTTGGACACTTCACATTCAGGATCTGGGGCTGGGACCAGTGTTTGTCTTTTTTAAACTGATCCAACAGTCTTCAATTTAAATAAATATTAGGAGGACAATGTCCTCATAGGGTGAATCTACTTGCAAGGATTGTGACTCTGCTGCCTCCTAGTGGCATAAGTCATTTAATTCATCTATATATAAAAGCTCAAACACACATCTTTGACTGTCTGATCAGATTTTTTAACAAAAAGACACGATACAAAAATAAAACAAAAAGCTTGTTTCATTTGAACTGGTATTATTTATTTTTCCGTAGTCAAAAATTAAATTACATATACATATAAAACATCCAGACTAATCATTCAGTGGTTGAAGAGACAAGGCATCGCTCTGTCTATGGCTCCATGACTATAAGATTAAGGTGTTCCTCTCCCTGAAAGCCTCCCACGTTCTATCATCTCTCTCTTTCATCCTTTTCTTCTGTCACCCTGACGCTGTCCTTGAAACAGACACAAGTTTAGTCTAATATTCATTTAAAGGACAAAGCCTCACACAGTGCACAGTTTTTTAATCTACACATAAAAATTAAGTATTCTGGCAGAAGAGATTTTGAAACATGAGTCTCTCGCTGTATTTTAATGCGACAAGGAAATTGTACAAAATGGGCACACAGTGACGACGTTTTCTCAACAACAGCCTGCACCTCATAAATGGCTATTCTGTTTTTGGTCAGATGGTCAACGGTCAAAAATGACAGCACAACAGGAAGTGGTTATGTATTCTATGACAGGCACACACGTACTGCACGTATATTTATACCCACATCCATCGAAATGTATGACCCCATCTTGGTCACATGTACACGCAATAAACCTACAGTACACTGAAGGCATTTAACAGTGTGTTTACCAAACATTCACATATACATTAATGATTTTAAAATCAACTTTAAGACACATGATGCTCATTAAAATTACTTTAACAATTGCTAAATAATTCTTTCGTTAGAGCTACAGTCATTGGATGTTTAAAAGTGTTTTCACAATTTTGTCTTTTCTTAATTTACACATCCTTTGTTTGCACTCATTCGTGTCATTTAGAATATATATATTTACACGAATAATATTTAGTCATGCCATTCATTAGTTTAGAGATGGGTCCTTGGAAACACAAAGACTACACATTCGTAAGTCAAAGCAGAGGTACATGACAGCAAATACAATGTACAAACTTTCATACACGTCTCGGAGGAGGTATTACAGCATGTGGTGTTACAGTGATAGATTACTGTACTTGTGCACTTTGCTTTGAAGTCACTTGAATAGAAATGATGGGGACTGTGGAGGAAGTAGCCTTGAAACTGGCAATAAAAGAACTCATGGATTGATATTTAACTGGATGGGAAAACAAGGAGTTAATAGATTTTAAACATGACTTCATTAATCCATCAATGAATGGATCAAAAATTTGAAATGGAGATTTTTTTTAATTGATTAATTTATCTATTGTGTTATATTTAACTTTAAGTGAAGATCAGGACATTTGTTGCATGTCATCCCTCGCACATGGGAGAAGTTTTCCTTGTAAGCTTTCTCCCAGAGAGCCCTTTCTGACAGAAATTTATTCATTTTAACTCAGACACCCACTTTTTTGTTAATATTAACCCCCAAAAAATCCCATTCTGGTAAAGCTCTTGAGGAAGACCTCTCCCAAAAGGTGTCATCCCTTCTCTGCCCTCATTTCCTGTCACCCTGCTGTCAAAATAAAGGCAAAAAATGCCTGAGAAAATGAAAAAAAATCCATATTCTTTCACTTTTCCTTTCTTTTATTATCCATGTTAATATCAATCAGTAATTGATTTACGAACAGTTTCAAGGCTCCCCCATCGAGGCCAAAAAAGGTGTGACAATCCCGATTTATTAGACAAACTCCTGATGTCGCCCATCTGAGCTCTTTGCTCTCTTTGTAATAACCTTTAAATGCATTTTATTGAATTAACTGTTATAAGTATATTAATTCCTTTTAGATCATCTTGCTTATTACAATATATACAGAAAGTAAAGAGAACACATTGGAATTTCATATCTAAAAATAAATAACTGTAATAAATTATTGTAAAATCATTTAATTGCTTGATAGAGGTCTTCAAAATAAAATATATCACAATTTCTTTATCTACAGAAAGTGCAACTACAAATAAAGTATTATTGGAGGTCATTCTTTCACACCATCATCTCTCTTCTCCCTTTGGCTCGCCGAGCTTCGAGGTGACACCGGTGTGTGAAACTCAAACAGAAGAGTTCCGTCCTAAATTAATTAAAGGTTACACTCTGATAATTAAAAATGAGGGGGAGCATGTGAGAGTGGAACTGTGTTTATCCAAAGTGACATGTCTCAAGGATCTGTATAATGAAGGAAAGTGTGACGATGTCAAAATATATCCTTTTAACCATGTGAGGCATTTTCTTTTTGGCACATGTTAAATGTTTTAGACGTTAAATGTTGCATTTCCCTGAACTGCCTCTCTTCAACCCAGGGATGGAGAAGAAAGGTTGCACTGGCAAAAAGGGCCTGACACATACAGAGGTGTGGAGAGGTCAATCTGGGTCGGATTTTGGGTGAATTATTGCTTAACAGAAATTCCTGCAGCCCCACAAAATAATAAAATAATGATTATTTTCCTGATACTCAAAGGGACACACAAACTCTCGCTCTCACACACATATACACACACACACACACACACACACACACACACACACACACACACACACACACATACACACTCACACACACTATCTCTCTGCTCTGGTTTCCCCTGACCTGACATTATCCAAAGTCCCTTGCTGGAGCCTTCATGAACTCATCTGAGGTAAAGAAATAAGTCACTGTACTAACACAACAAATATTCTGTAGAACAACCTCCATCTTTTATGATCATCAGTTCAAAGACGAACATCCATAAAAGGAAAAAGACTACATCTCAAAAACACGTTATTGATGCTGCTGCTTCAGCTGAAGTTGGTCTTCTGACATTTACAGTTTTCAGTTTACATCATCACACAAAACTGACACAAAGTTTTATGCCCCAAAAGAGGATTTGTCTATGTATTACTGAACCTGCAATGTATTTTTAAAATCTACCAAATAATCGACCATATCATCACTATTAGAAAAAGTACACAGCCATGGCACATTAAATAAAAAGACAGTCTAGCAGATTTAAGGAATGATGACAGATGGACCTACTTAGATTAATAAAACAAACTGGTTTGTTTTCAAAGGAGCATTTACTCTCTATCATGAAGCTCAGCCAAGTGTACACTGGAGGGGTGAAACCAGGGTGTTGTCTCTGATGGAGTGAAAAAGTGGAGTAGAGAGGTTGTTGTTGTTGTTATGTGAGTGTGTGTTTGTATGTGTGTGTGTGTGTGTGTGTGTGTGTGTGTGTGCTTGTCTATCTTTGTGAGGACCAAATGTCTTTAAGGGAGCTGTAGGTGACATTCAGAACATTAACATTGCAGCAAACAACTATGTTGCTATGTAAAGGTAAAGTGGAGTAATGCCGTCCTGAGCAGAGAATGAAGTCACCCTCCCTCTGTGTGTGTGTGTCATAATCCAAGCTTCTCTGTTTGTTGTTACGGTCAGCCTGCACGTGCATGTTAGCCCATGTGAGTGTATCCCACTGGCTAGTTCATCGCTGTGGCTCTGCACTGCGTCACACAGTAGTTATTTCTGCTAACACAGACCCTCCGGTTCTCCCCCAGGTTAACACCAATAGCTCTGTCAGCACTGTTGTTGTTATTAGCGCCTTTTGCGCTGTTAGCACCGCTGGCTGCTAGCTGCCGGCTAAGCCACCTCGATGTTGAGAACCATGTGCACACAACCTGAATCATGATGTGCAGAATGTTGTATACAGCTCCTTTAAGGCAAATATAATTTATATATTTTTAATCAACAGTGGCTCACGTGATTACTTGTTTTCAAAAGGGATCGCTTTTAGGAATGAACTGATAATAACTTATCATCCAACTCTGCACCCTCACCACTCTCATAGTGTTGCTTTTAACTCCAACAGGCAGATTACTTAAGCAAAAAACCCACTGTACACTGCCTGCTCAGCACCAAACTAGCTGGTGAACATATTGGACCACTTAGCAACTAAAGACTCAGTTATTTCCCCCAGGAGATCGTAGAAACCAAAAAGTGAGCAAAAGGCAGAGTAAACATGTGACTTAAATTCATCAGGAGGCTGGAAACATGAAATGAATGCTAATTTTTCTCTGTATCTGCTGGATGTGTAAATAAGCATCCACTTAGCTCACAGTATCAACTTTAAATGTGATAATATTTCCATGTTGGGGTTATAACTTGTTTCTGTCGCCCCCAAGTGGCCAAAAAAATGCAAATTATTGCAGATTTAAAACAGTAGTAAAATAAGGAGTGTAATGATTACATTTAAACTAATGCAGTCTTTATCAGTTTAAATGGGGTGGACAAAATAATACAAACACCAGTGAGTATAATGCACTACAATGTAACAGTGCCATAAACTGCATCCTCCAAATAACTATAAAGTTGACTCAACAAAACTGGCAAATGGGCATATTCCTGGTTTATATCTGTGCTAGGGTTCAGTTTAAGGCTATCTCTAGTATTAAATAAAAAATCTGCCCTACGAGGGAATTTATTATGGGCTATTTTATGATGTTGGGCAGTAAAGTCAATATTTATAGACAAATGACAGCTGTGTCACCATGTGCTGAAAACAAACCATACAGACTTTTTGGCTGACATTGTAGACAGACCATTGACATTGTGAATTACTGACTGACTGGCATGTTGAGATGTTACATCCGAATGAGTGTAAAATAAATGGATGGCTTTCAGGTGTGAATCAGCCAATGTCCCCATATCTCAGTGAAATCACCAGGGCTGCCAGCAGCTGTCACAGTGTCCTCCATTATTTACTGTCACCGTGGAAGGAGCAGCAGCTCCAGGATGTGTCTCTAGATTACATTATCAGATACAAATTAATTAAAACCAAGCTATTCACTAGTATTGAGTTTTTACTGGTGGATGCTGCTGCAGGAGAGAATGCCTCGAAGTTTCATCCTCCAACCTCACAATTAAGATAGAAAGCCAAAGGCAGTGTACAGGGCAAAATGTGTCATAAAGGACTTCTTCCCTGTCTTGTAGCTGACAGCAGATGATGGTGGTTGAGATCAGAGATTTTACTGGTTAAATGGTTAAGAAGGTTAAGGAGTCAGAGTTAGGATAAGGTTAGCACTGATTTTAATTTTAGGACATAAGGTTTTAAAAATATTTGTGGTCCTCACAAAGGTATGTGCATGTGTGTGTCTGTCTATGTGTGTGAGAGTGTACTACCTTCTCTTTGTCTGTGTGTTTGTGGACAGTATTATGTGTTGCAGGTAGCTGGTAGAAATCATCCAGACTTGTTTCTCTAAGCACTGAGGTGCCTGACGGTCAAAGCAGCCAAATCGCAGCGTCCTGTGGTCCAGAGCTACAGTCTGTCAGGACTGCGGATATCCTTTAATCGTCTATGAACGCGATCCCATCAATCCTGCAGAGTTAAACAAACAAACCCTGAATCAACAAAGCTCAGAGAACAATTTGGCTGCCCCAGATTTACAACTACCAGTGGGAGCAAAAATTTCATAGCACAAAAGAGGTGGGTGACCACAGTGTGCAGCGGAAATATTTACAGATGACAGGGGGTTGAGGAGAAAGAGGGTATGGCCTTGCCTTTTTAGCAGCCACAGGACGAGTGTCCTTTTGATTGGAGTTGAGGGATTTCCACACGGTGGTTTTAGACATTTCATCAGATATATTAATATCAGAGGGGTCACACCTGAGGAGCAGGGAGAGGACAAAAAGATAGTGTTGGGAGTGAGTTGTGGTTTAGGGAGAGGTCAGTGTGTTAGTATTCACAGGGTGCACTTGAAAGCAGAACACCACACACACCAAACAAGACAAGCGTGCATGTAGATGAAAAATAAGGAGGCACAGCTCTCATTATCTTACCACACCGATCATCTGGTGTCCATCCGGTCCATTTGAGTGTGTAGGGGGGGTGCGTGTGTATGTGTGCTCACCTGGGGTCATGTGCTTTGGGAGTCTGAACGGGTTTGCTGCTCTCCATGGGAATCTGAACAACAGCTGTATCCTCCTTCTTTTTACTGAGCATAACCTGCGATTCCTACAAGACAAAATGTTTCCATGCCACAAACATATCTCGTCAATACGTGTGTGTTTATTTATGTTCATCTGAGTAATTCAAGCTGCCTTTTAAACCAGTGATTCAGTAAAAAAATTTAAGACTTTTATATAATCATGATATAAAGTTGTTGTTTTTTTGTTTTTTGTTTTTTTTAATACATAAGGCTTCATCATTCAATGAATATTTGATTTTTTATACCTGGTATAGGTCATAACCTTACAGTTTAATCTAACAAATTGTATATTATTTATGTATGCTCTAAGAATGAAACACTTCTGAAATGTACTTTAATTTACCCCATATCTCTTTATTTACGTCTGATATTTTGTTAAATTACAGTGTAATTTGCAGCTTATTGCATTGATATTAGTTGCATTGTTTTATCGGTATTCTGTGTTGAGATAGTCCAAATACTTTTTATACATGTCTAATATTTTTCTAATACATTTTTGTTGTCTTTTTCTTTCACATGTTTAAAACTATAGCACTGTAAAAAATAGATGAGGTTGGGTGTAAAACGGTATAAAGTAACGCACTACTGTAATCGCATTTGTCAGTGACACAGTAAAGTAACATGTTACTGTTCTAAATTCAGTAATCACATTACAGATACTAATTATACAATTATGTCATTATTTGCATTACATAAATTCTTCAATTATCAGCATAATGGATACAGTTCATCTGTCATTTTAACAAGTGTTTTTGCTTTTAAGTCTGTCATGTAATGGTGTTAGGAAGGCCAGTCTATGTTATTTTATGTAGGCTTAATTGTATTTTTTTTTTTTGTTGAGGCAATTAAAAGGGTACTTCATCAATTTTCAACCAGCTTTGTGTAAATGAGCTGTTGTAAACTTCCCTCCATCTAACCAGTACCTAGATCCTCCTACTTCTTTCCTAGCAAAACTCTGCTGGATGACACAACACATGTCATTTGGCGGAATTTTGCTGGCTGTCGGACTGTTGCTCAAGCTACAGGCTGTAGTTCTGCATTTTTGTCAAGAAAACTATAAAAGAAGGAAAGGTCATGACATCAGTGACAGTGATCAGATTTTGCATTGGAGCCACAGTTTGGTGCTGATCCCATCTTCTCCCATGATGACAAACAGAGACAGAGACAGAGACAGAGACAGATTAACTGTTTGGAGACCAATAACAAGGAAAACAAACACATTTAGATAAAAAAAACATCATTCAACATTATGTAATGTATATATTTGTTTAATTTTGTGCAAGGATTTTTTCAGTTAAAGGTGAAACAACATAGATATGATGGGTTATAGTGTGATTTGGTGTGCCCGACTCATGGACTCCAATAGAGTTGGCACCAAACTCTGACTCCAATGCAAAATTTGAATACTGTCAGCGAAATCATGACCTTTCCTTCTTTTTTCTTTTTCTTGATTTCCCTATTACCTGCCACCCATGTTGCCATGAAAGACACAAAGAGTATAGAAGTGGATCAAGAGACAGACCCACCTCCCTCTCTCTCCTTATCCTCCACCTATGCCTAATGTTATATTACTGTTAACTTGCAATTGCATGACAATACATTTAAAGCAGTGTTGTGGAGTAATGTAATAAGTAGTGTGATTAATTATTTTTAACACTGAGTAATCAAGTAAAGTGATGCATTACTCTTTTTTAAATGTAATAAGTAATGTGTAATATATTACTCCTTTAGAGTAATGTACCCAACACTGAAACTAGGCCACATCATATTATAATATACATATACATATTCCCCAGTATATTCTCTATCTGGTAAAGGGGGCTTTGGTTGAAAAACAACTGAGAACCTCTGGTTTAGACTACCTCTTCCATTGTTTTGGAGGCATCATCCAGGTTCTTCTTCTTCCATTCAGGCATTAAGTCATCCAGGTAACTTAGCTCTCGCTTGGAGAAGCACCAATCCAGCAGTTTGCGAACGAAAACCAGAGCCAGCACCTTCACGCACATGTATAATAAAAATCCATTGTTTAAATGGAGGATATTTAGGAACTAGTGAAGAGAGAAAAGTGATGTTGGCAGTGGTCAACTCACCATCATTGGGAAGACGATAGCGGCAGGTGAGGTCTTGATGACCCAGAGCAGCACCAGACAGGTGAGCTGAGTGACAGTGAACAGGTGCACCTTCCTCAAGGGCACATGGCGCAGGTAGATGAAGTCTGGCTGGTGTTTCGCCGGCATGCCGAACAACTTCAGACGGTCGAAGAACTGAGGAGTGAATGCAGGTGGTGGGGACGTTAGAGACAGAGAGGGTAAAGGAGAGAGAAGAATTAATGAGAGCAGAGCAGGGAGGCAGATGGCGAATATGGCAAGAGAGAGAAAGCGATTATGAATGACAAATTTAGTTAGATTAGTCTGACAATTAACTGTCAGGCTTCATTGAATTGCGACAAAATTAATTTGATCAGGAGAGGGCATCAGAGGGACAGCCACATTAATAAGAGGTTGGGATGATGGAGAGGGGAAAAGAACAACTTGGGATATTTTGTATTTAAATTACTTCCAGATTAAGAAATAAGTATGAATATGGTAAAAGTTGAAAACATATTTGATCACATGCCAGTGTGATTATAGCATCCTTCAAATTATTCATAAAATTATTTTTTTTAAAAATAGACACTCCCTTTGCAAAGGAGTGCTAAAGGCAGACATTTTCAAATTGTACCCATAGTGACTTTAATGTAAATCATCTTTACCATATAGTTTAATGATCCTGTGTCACATTTATATATGTCACATATTACCTGGATGCCTTTTAATGAAGAGACTCCCATGTAAAGGAACACACCATAGAGCACTGGCATAGGAATGAACTGAAAAACAAAACATAAATCAATAAGCTTTGATGAGTAACATTATCACAAATATCCCAGCCAGAGGGGGGCAGCATTGTGTAGCTTGTCTGACTGACCTGCAGGGCTCCAGTCATGAGTACAGAGCAGCCCATGAGCAGGAAGATGACCAAGCCGGTGAGCCTCTGCTCTCTGATACCCAGGAATCGAGGCTGCTCTCCTGGAGCCGAGCTCTCTGACTCCAGCTTCAAGCTGTTGACATGAGAGATGGACAGGACCGTGGCTGCTACAAACCAGGGTAAACCCATGATGGAGCAAACCGCCAGCATCACCCCGACCATGAGCAGGTCCAGGTGGTACCCACAGCCCTTCTGCATAACAGAGAGGAGGACAGACAGGTACATGAGCAACAGTCTGCACAGATTCAAAGGGCAGATGTATTCGCTTCTTACCAGCAGTTTGTGCTCTTTGCGGTTGATGATGACAGCAGTTATCTGTTGGTCCATGAAGATGAGGATGGTGCAGAGAAGAGCGGGAATAGCTGCAGCTAGGACTGTCCACCATGGGTTGCGTCCTATTGGATTGATGATCCAACCTCGGTCATCTCTGGTAGGCTTGAGGATCACATTAAAGAGGTGTGAGGGCATGAATCAGCCATGTGGCATTTTATATCAAGGTTATAATTATGTCTTCCCTTTGTACCTGGAATTTGCTGGGCACCTTTAACTTCTGGGAGGGCACTCCAATGGCATAATCAAGCAGAACCATGACGGCAATGGTGAGGAACACTGCAAAGTCACTAATCATGGACCGCACCTGGGAACAGGAGATAACAACACTCAGAGATCAGTTGTTCCTAATGTGTCACGTCAAGTAGTGGAGCCCCCAGGGGTGGCCATGGGGGGCAATGGCCATCCTGATACAATTATTGGTCCCTCCACCCCCAGTGAAAATTATTGGAAGCTTTTATAAAAACTAGACAGCGTAAGGCATCCATTGTTGCAAACCAGGTCATGATAGCTTTTTGGGAAGGGGGCTGTATAACACTCTTAAGTTAAGCTAAATTTTGGCTAGGAAAAAACTGACATGGCGATTTTTAAAAGGGTCCCTTGAACTCTCCTCAAGATATCTGAATGAAAATGGGTTCTATGTATGGATGTATAAAGAGTACTGGATACAGCCGGGGAGGCGGGACCCTGTTCATTCCTATGACAGTTGCTCAGTGGTGCATGAACCGAAATTGCTCAACTGCCTGGTATAAAATTACTCTGAAAATTGATCGCGTTGCTTCTGCCCTATGTGGCCCATAAAGCAGGCGCACTGGAGACCACCAGCTGAGCCAGCTTACTCTGCTAACTTGAATGGGGTTAAAGTGATTAAATTGTGCAGCTCTTCAAGACTCTTCTAGACAAATGTTATTGAACTGAATGGATCAAATTCTGATAGTAAAACAAAGCATTTTGCGGAGGTTGTCATGCTCAAAAAAATGTATCCACTGATTTACAGATGTCTCTTTCGTCATGTAAGTCAATGGGAAAAAGTCGTTTTAGGCCCCAGGGCATCATGTGATGGATGCAATTACACTCAGTACATTTACATGCACAGTTAAGTCAAGCTACAGCCATGGCTCGACCAGGCCATTTAACTGGACTACTGTCCTTGTCCCAGTATACAAGCACGGGAGGGGAATCAATTTATTGACCAAAGTGTGTCCGCCTCTACGATGGGTGGCAATATGCTCCCTTTCAGCTTGTTAATATTGGACCTTTTTCCAGTTGACCTATTACGTCACAGACCAAACAATTGACGAACAAGTTAACTATGGTTAGCTAGCAGCAAACTGGTACCATGGTGGACAACTTAACAGCTCTATACATTTCTCATGTGCTATGCTTTATTTTTTCTTTTTCTTACCTTCTTCTGTTACACATTTAATGCTTCTCTACTTCCAGGTCAAAGCCGGGTGGCGGAAACTGTGGCGCATGCACAAAGCACCTTGGACAGTTTGGGTCCGATTGACTGTATACATGCAGGAGTAATTTGACTCCCAATGACATTATCCGGGTGTGTTAGTTGGACTTTGAGAAATTTGTTTTGGTACGATTTCCGTTGGACTAACACATTAGCATATATTTTTTTTTGTCTGGTTTTAGTCGAACTAACACAGAAAATTGATTTTCTCTTATGTCATGTAAACTTTAATGACTGTCAAGCCACTATGAAAATTGGCTTCAAAACCCACAGCACTCCCTGGGGTCCTAGTTCTATGGGTACCCATGAATCTCCCCTAAACTTTAGAAGGTTAGTTTCCAGTAAATGTTTTGTCTATAACAACCATTGTATTCCTTCAAATTAAAGCCGTATATTTGTCTTTTCAGGAAAAGGATAACCTGCCTATTTAAAGAACAATGATTTAGCAATATTCATTGTAAAAAAAGAAACCAAAGTATATCAGTGTGCGATTCCCTTAATTCTCCATATTGACAAGGTTTTCAACAAGCCTTTGCACTTCAACAGCATAATGGAACTCCTGTAATTCAGTTATAGCTTTGGTCTTGGTGTGCCATCCCAAGATTTTCAGTGGCTTCATCTGCTATGAAGAATTTCTCAAGGGGGCCACTGCACTTATGTCAGGTTTCACAATGTCTGGTGTCACCTTTACGTACTGGGCAGTCTTATCATTTGATTACCTTGGTGGGGAAATAACGACTTGTCTTGAATTGTTTGAGGAAGGCAGACATGAAAAAGGTTGAGAAGAACAAGATGGTAGACCAGAAGAGAACATCTGGGGTGTAGGGGCCGTGGTGGCCACATGCCGTCCCAACAAACTGGCCCTGCAGACTGACACACTCCTGCAGAAATTCACAGGGGTTACATAAAAACAAAACTGCTCAGATGACTCAGGAGAAAAAATAGATCAAAAGACTGTTTTATCTCAATTATCTGACAGACAGGAAGGAGTCTACAAAGCTTAAAGAAAAGAACAGTACAGAAGAAACAAGAGAAGCCTTTGGTGTGCTCAGTTATCCACAGCAGTGAAAGGTCAATCCATTGAGTGTCCTTGTCAGTGTTTGCAAAGGTCCTTAAGAGAGGTCAGGTGCTCAAGGGAAGGTGAGGGGGTTAGTTGAATGTTAACAAAAATAAACACGTTGGATACAGTGTGTGCTATCATGTGGAAGTCACACTGAGATTAGGAGTCAAAGTGTGTGTGTGTGTGTGTGTGTGTGTGTGTGTTTCCACATAGTTAAGTTACCTTGACAGTGAGGTTGGTCCAGGATACAGCAGAGGCTGTGATGTTTCTCTCACTCCACAGTTCTAAGGTTTTATTACTGGGGTTATCAGGCTCTGCACACCTACAGCTACAGAGACAGACAGAGAGACAGCACAACAAAAATTTGTATTTTTTTCTGCCAAAAAATGACAGGCTCACATGCTTTTATCACTTAAATTAGGCCAGACAAAAAGAGAACTGCATGCAAGGATGTGATCTGAAGGCTTGTAGAGGAGAGCAGGAATGAAGAGACAGCAAGGGCAAAGCCACAATGTGTGGAGATGCTTGCAGAGAGAGAATGGCAGCTATATATTGTTATCCTTGGATTCCACCAGTTACAGCTGTGACCTGGTTTTGTTCCGTCCTTTGCACAGGATCACACCACACAAGAAGTGTTTCAGAAGCGGAGCATTTGCCTGCATGGTTCAGTAGACTTGCAGATTTCATTGATTTTGTCCTTTGTCCTTGATATTTGTGCTTCTACCATAATAAAGTAGGCTATGTTATTGAATTTTATTTTGCTTTATTGTCTGTTTTAATTGTTGTACCAAGATACCACACGCCAAGAAGACGCCTATTTATGCCAATGAAGTTGCTCACCTGGCACATAGGCCACAAAAAGTGTCTAGCTTCCGGGTTTACTTCTGCAGTATGTGACCCACTGAATATGCACAGTAGTGTTTCTCCTGCTGGCCCCACCCACAAGTTCCCTCTCCGCTGATAGGCTTTACATCGTGTTGATGCCATGGATTTTTAATTGCTTTTCTAAGGTATAAGTCTAAGTATAAAACTGAAATGGCTCAAAAAATTAATAAAAGAAGAGTCATAATTGACCTTGTTTGCAGTTCCAGGTGTCCTGTCAGCGGTTTTTTCAGACGTCTCATTCACATCAGTGGCTGATGGGAAAATAGTATTTAGGCCGCAGGGGATTTTGTCGCTGCAATACTGCGAGTGGCCACTGGGAAACACTGGCTTCAAGGGGGAGCAATGTTCCTGGGGGCCAGATATTTACATGTATTTAATTCTGACAGGGTGTTTATTTGAAAAATTGACTGGATGCTGCCGTTCCATTTTCTATCCAGTTTGTTTGGTGTAATACATCATGACTGAACACGATGCACGTTTTTAGCAGAGCAAAGCAGAGAGCCACTTCTATAAAGCTTTTGAGAAGCATTACGGCACGTCTAGCGGAATCACAAGCATTGTCTAAAGTAACCCTGATTAGCTCTGGCGGATATGTTGCAGCAAGAACGTGGCACAGCTGCATTATTGAGAGGTTAGGGAAGAACAACGCACTGAAAATACAATGAACACTAAAGAAATCTACCAGGTGAGTCATTTATTAATAATTTTAGTTACTCACTACGCCAGTGTGAGTTTGTCCAGATCGCTGTGTGTGTTAAAGGGGTAGACTTCTCCGAGGTGGAAGAGCTTCTCCAAGGCCTCGTAGATGAAGATGAGGCAGATGAGGGCGGCAAAGGCCTCCTCTGTGAACCGAGTGATGTAGCACACCAGAGAGCTAGCATCAGTGGCAACCAACAGCAGACACAGCAGAGCGGTCCACAGGCCGATGCAAGCCCTCAGCGACAGATAGGACAGGTTGTAGTCCCTGATGTGAAAGGAGAAGAGAAGGATGACAGGGAATACATTATCTGTTAGAAAAGGACTGTGGTGATGATAATAAAATGTCACAGGCAGGTTGTAATACATACTTGCAGAACTTGAAGAGGATTTTCTCAAAAACAAGCACAGGCCCTGTGCTGCCCAGAATGGTGAGAGGCTGACCAGCAAACACAGAGTAAGCTACTCCAGTCATAGATGCACCCAGTAAGGACTCAATGGCACTCTACAACACATGGTGGAAATAGAGTATGTCTTGTATTCAGTAATAGTTTTAATGCTGTATTCATAATGTTCTAATCTCAATGCAGTATGTGACTGTGTCTGAGTGTGTTTGTGCTCTTACGATGCGTCCCTCTGTCGCCTCCCCCAGCAGTCCTCCAAAGGTGATGACAGGAGACATGCAGGCACAGTACAGGAAGAGGAAGGAGGCCACACACTGGAGGCTCAGACCGTCCTTATAGTCACTCAGGTAGAATGGAGCTTTCCTCTTGATGTCCAATATCAGACCACCAAACAACCTGGTCACAGCACACAACAAGAGAAGAGAGGTGCTGAAGTTTAGAGCACAATCTGGTGAAGGGATGTCGAGCTGATACACCCAAAACAATTGATGAGTGTGGTCAGACGTGTCGCTTGCATCTGTACGTACACTTATCAGTGATGTCAAAGTATCCTGGAGTAGACTTCTACATCATGGCATCAAGATGAGAAGTTAAACCACAGGAGGTCAGCAAAAAACAAGATTTTCAGGGGACCGTAACTTACTGTTTAAGAAATAAAAGGGAGTGTTTTGGTGCTTGTTTGTCTCTCAGGCTATCACACTTGGTTTGTCATTCGCCTGTCCAACCTCAGTTCCTCACAAATCCAAATTTAGATTTGGTGGCTTCAGCAACTGTCAAACATGGTGGACAGTGCTAAGTTAGCCCCAGGCTTCCACACATCCCTTTAGAAAACATAACAGGTGCTAAAGCCAGGGGCAGGGTGGGAGGTGGAGGTCTGTGTGGGGGGTCTCTGAGGCTCCAACCCCAAATGTTTTCAACTTTGTGTCATCCAGATGATAATATATACCCATGTTTATCCTACTATACTAAACCCTAAAAGAAATCTAATATAATTGAGTAGATGTTCTTTTGTTGGCCTGATATTCACTTCAGAAATTTAAAAACCACATGTATGTGGAATTATTGGGAATCCTTTCATTTGCAATTAGAGTAACCCAGACTATGACACACAGATTTGAATGTAGCAGATTTTTTTTAAATAAACAACCAGTCTCTGAACTCTACTCCAGCATAGTGTAACAAAAATAGCTTTCAAGATGAGTGTTGCTGTTTACACCACATCCCTAACCTACCTGTTATGCAACCTAAAAATAGTAACATCATACAATTTTTGCCTTTTTTTAGGAGGCAGGAGTGAAAGGAGAGAGGATGATTTCCCCCCCCCCCCCCCCCCCCCCCCCCCCCCCCCCCACCCCCCCCACCACCACCACCACCACCACCACCACCACCACCACTATCATGTTTTTTTCCTTATGATGTGTTGATTTTTAGGCATTCTTTTATCTCAAATGGCTGGAAAATTGTGCAGGTAGCTGCTGTTAAATGGAGAAAAAAAATCTCTCCAGGGTTCTCATAGTCACCATATTTGGGGTTACTATATCCAAATTTATCTTATGTAATTTCTATGTATTAAAATGGCTACTACTGAACCAAAAAGCCTAAGTAATCTACAAGCAACTGACAGCTTACTTTCCAGTTCTCTGCAGCTCTGGCCCATGGCACTCAGGATGCAAGTCTTCCTCTACCTGGCAGACTGTGCCATTAGGGACTCCTGGCATCTTCCTCTTCTCCTACAGGCACCCAATAACAGTCCAACACACAACAGACATCCAATCTTCATTGTTCTGCACCTAATCAAAGTTTTAGCTAAAAGTCAAAACTGAAAAGTAAATCTCTCTGTCATAACAGCTGTGTACCTGAGAGGGGACATTCTTTGGGGGCTCAATGCGGATGGAGGGGTCCCACTCTCCCGGCGGTAGGACTGTCACCTGATCCAGGAACTCATCTATCCCAGCCAGCAGGTCACTTCTGTCCTTTGCCTTGTAAGCTACATCATGGAAGATCTGTTTTGGACAAAAGTGAAGGACAGAAGAAACTTAATTGCCTGTCCTTGTAAGACAAATCTAGAGATTTGATTTGTTCTGTGAAGGTTTCTGAATTTAGATTTTAACTGATGCCGCGTTCTTACTTCATCTGTCATGATGGTCGCCATGGAGCGCCCAATTTCGTGGTATTGCTGAGCCTTTCCATCTGGGCCCAGGAGAATGAAGAGGAACCTGTTTGTCAGCAGATGGTTTGGAGTATGTAAATCATTCCTGGATTATGGACTTCACATAATTTGATTTTGCAACTAAACCACTGTTCACATGGCCGTCTACCTGGTAGGTATGGGGACCTCAGTGAGTCCAGTGAGGAGCACAGCAGGGGAGAGGCGGACAAAGGCCACAATGGGCCTCTCCACGAAATCCAGTTCTCCCACCAGTACGTTGGAGGCCTCTGCACCCTCTGGGATCTTCTTCATGAAGTGCATGTCCACCTGGTCAGACAAGGCAGTATGAGTTAAGAATAAAGATAAAAGAGTTACAACAGCAATATGTTTTTTATCATCCTGTCACTTCAGTGCAAACAGAAATGTATTCAGTCTTAGAGCTGTACGTAAAGCTCTCCCACCACAGGTGCAGCATAATGCCAGAGAACCATGCTAGCATTTCAGTGCTAAGGGTGTTATATGCACTCAAAATCCCAGGTGGACATTGATGTCTAAATGGAAGCTTTTATCTGTGTCCTGTGTGGCTGTACTTAACAGTCTTGCAGTGATGGGCTGCTGCTGTGGGATGCACTTTGAACACATGTAATTCTCCTGTTATTTCATAGGGGGCACTCTGTGACCTAGTTGATGTTGACAGCACACCAAACGTTGATTACAGATCTTAGCAGGGTGCTACAGCACATCATGCATAGAGCTGATGGCCCTGTAGAACCAAAAAAAAAAGATCTTACACTGCTGTTATCAGATGTATTAATTATATCTGCCCTCTTCTAATCTCATAGTCTGTTGTGGTCTTCACAGCATCTATTTGTGTACATAAACAGTGTGCACTGAGAAATTGAACATATTTATTATGAGGAAAAAAAACGGCTTGTTTACCTTGCTGAGGTCCATTTGGGAACTGTCCTGTGCTGCACCGTTCTTAGCGGGTTCTACAGCTGGTGGAGGTTGTGGAGATGTGGCTGACCCTGCTAGACAGTAAGGGTGTGGGTGTGCATATGAGTGTGTATGTGTGTTCCACGGAAAGAGAATCAGAGTTAGTACATATATCTTTTTGCCTGCCAAGTGCAAAGTCAAAGAAATATCTATGAAGGTAGTAATGCTTAGCTGCCAATATGGCCCATTTACTCAGGAACAGGTTTTGGCAGTCCGTCCCTGTTTCACTGTCCAGAGACTGTGCTATTGTATCAGTCTGTCTGTTACTTAGTCTTGTTGTTCTTAGTCTCCTCCTGTCTGCTTTTATTACCTAGTTTTACTCCATTCATTATTCTGATAAAAATGTATATCAAACAGTCTCTTACTTAGAGGGAAAGTTCTGATTTTTTGAAATGGGGTTGTATGAGGCACTTATCCATAGTCAGCCTGTTACACACAGTAGATGCAGGTTGGCACACCCCCAATTTGGAAGAGCAGACAGGAGTATCGACACAGAGGCTAAGCAGTGTACTGCTGTGGTTGGGGACAGCAGCAAAACACATTTTAGCCCCCTAAAAAAGTCCCACCTAAAAAAGACTATCACTTTAAATGGACGCTTCGTTGAGAATACTTTCACCTTTTTACCTTGCTGTCTATAAATCTCTTCAAAGCCAGAATCCATTGAGAAAAACAAGTAATTCAGCATCGCTGAACACAGGAGCTGCTGGTCTACCGCTACCTCGATCAGTTAGTCTGTGTTATTGTGTGAATTTAGCAATTAAAAGGGTAAGTTCAATAACACAAACATACTAACTGATGGAGGCAGCAGTAGACCAGCAGCTCATGTGTTCAATGAACCAAAATTACTGTTTTTGTCAATGGAGTCTGGTGGCTTTGACAAGAGCATTGATGTGGAACTGAAGCCGCTAACGGCCTCCCCATCAGCAGTAAAGAAGTGAACATGATCTCATTATAGTAGACGCTCATATTGATGTTGATTTTTCTGGTGGTTAAAATATATTTTGCTGCTGCCCCTGTCCACAGCAGTACATTGCTTAGCTTCCATGTCAGTTCTCCTGTCTGCTTCTCCAAACTGGGGATGTACTGACCGCCATCTACTGTAGGTAATACACAAGTTTTCCGTTAAGTAATTGTGAGTCAGTTCATATTTCTGAGACTTTACACTGATTCTGTCTCCAGACAGTGGATTTCTACATTCAATTCATACCATTAAACAATCTGTGATAACTGTTTTATGCTAAACGTAACATGTTTGGTGCACAGTGTGAAACCCACCGGTCAGAAGGGGCTCTGACTGTTTGCGGGTTCCCTCGGCAATGGAGCGGACGATGGGGATCAGGTTCTTCTTCTTCTCGTTCTGGTGGTGATGTCTCTTCAGCAGAGCCTCACGTACCTTTACTCTTACACTGTCGTCCAGCTCCTTAGACGCCTCCTGGTGGTCCAACACCATATCTGCAAAGAACATGCACAAATGCTCATGTTTGTGAAACCAGACTTAACATTTTTTTAAATTAAAGGCATCAGTCACCTTTAATTTTGTACAGTATGTATTTTATTTGTGCTCTTTTGATCAGAACTTTAATTCATTTGTAATCAATAAGTTCGACACAAGCAAAATAACTAGCACACTGCTGAGCAGAAAGTGCATATTGGCAGTGGTCGGTCAATATGTGTCCAACATATCTGGCCATGTGGGACTGCAGAGAATAATCACCATCTCTTTATCGCTCTTACCCCTTCTGCTCTCCTCCCTCTCCCAGTCCTTTCTTTTTTACTGACTTGCTGAGTCAGCACTGGAACTTTCCTTCCTTCTTTCCTTCCCTCCTCCACAGTCAATCAAAGTGTCTGCTTGACACACACACACACACACACACTGCAGTCCCTGCATACATTCAGAGCACACTTCAAGGCCAGCACCATTGTGTCGAGCTCAGCGCCAGTATAATAAGCCATGTTAATAAGGACAGCGACAAGAGAAACGCCTGAAATTAAATCAAAAGCCATAAATGGCTCATCTATCGCAGCCTCCGCTCACACTTCATAGGCTTGAGATGGATCACGTTCTTTCTAATTTAAGACTGCAGCAACAGCTCCGCCTCATCCTCATCCTGTATCACTTGACTGGTGCCCATCAGTTACTCATCTGACGATGTAATACATTTAATAATATTTGTCATGTTCAAAGAACTGGTGCATGGATTATTAGAATATGCAACTTCAGGCATCTTTATTACATTCTCTTAGTTTGCCACTCTTCTATAAATAAACAAGTAAAGAAATGAAGGGTTTTTTTTGGCTCTATCTCCTCTACCATCTTGGATCCTATTCGGGGTCCAGGTGCTGCTGGCAGGAGTCACATGGAGAGGAGAGAGAAGTGAGAAGAGCAGTGGAGAGCCGGAGAAGAGTAACGACTGCAGGCAACAAGGCCGTTCAGGGTGTAAACCTGTCATAACACCATGAGGAAGGCTGACCGATGGAAAACCTTGAACCACGTGTGTGTGTGTGTGTGTGTGTGTGTGTGTGTGTGTGTGTGTGTGTGATGGATGGACAGTGTAGCGCTGAACCATTGTTCATGTGTGGGTGTGAATTTTTGCAGTTGTATATAAATCATTTATTTATCCGTCAGATTAAAAACGGTGATTGTCCTCTCACTCATAGATATACATAGTCACTGCTAATCCAATTGTGTGCTTCCTCTGGTATGCAAATGAGCTCGAGCTGTGGCAGCATCTTTATGTAATTGTAGATTTTAATGCAAATCAGGTTCAGCAGAAGTTCAGATGCAATATTCCAACATCCACACAGCAACTACACAGCTCAGTGGCACAAACTATGTCTTTATATTGTGTTTGTTTATGTTTACATTTGCAGGAAATCATTTAGACTTTTCAACATTAGACCAGTGGGGTCGTGTCTGTTTGTGTTTCTGCATCCAGCGCGATGATGATGCTCCCCGCAGGCCTGTACTGCATGTGTGTCTCCTCTCTTAGGAGGATAAATTGATTTGTAGAAGACATCCAGCGGGCATCTCTGCTGAGATATACAGCCTGTTTTATATCAGTGAATATAATATTTACTGAATGACAGCAGTAAGAAGTGACTTTATAGAGCAGGAAACAGAGGGACGGGAAATTGTGGAATCATATATCCATTTGAAGAAACGACACCAGTCACTTACAGCAATGATAACAACTGATTTCTGTCTTTATGAGAAATCATTCAGGCGCAGCTTGCCTTTTTCTCTAGGAACAGATAGCGCTCTGGTACTGAGATATTAATATGTGTCAGTTGGACAGATTCTCACCTGCAATCTCTTCGATGCTGTCAGCACGCATGTCAAGCAGCACGCTGCCATTGATGATGCAGCTGCGGAGCTCAAACAGGCTGTGGAGGGAGAGAGTGGCCACATAAGGCTTGCTCCACCTCTCCCCTCCATCCTCCACGTCTTCCTCAAACTTCAGCCACCTGTGAGGTAAAGACAGGATGAGAGGTTTGGAATTAAGGAGTAAATGTGATCCCTTACTATATTTATCTATTACTTTAAAAAATCATTTCTATTTATCAAATTTCTTGTCACTTACAAATGATTTTAAATTAACGAGAGCTCAAGAGGTTTCTAGAGTTGGCTAGATCCTATATGACTGCAGTACAGAGACAGAGGTGAACACACAACTTTTAAAACATCTGGAGTGATGGTACAAAATATCATTCGTCATGATGAATATTACACTATCTCAAGCAATATATTTAATGCAGCAGCAAATTAGATTTAGCCTGTTATTTGCAATTCATTTGAACAGTGACAGGGTGTAACACAATTATTTGCCAACAAGAGTTACAAAGCTGACACTAATTTTGTTTGCTGTCGTTGTCAATGTGGTATTAAACTGTCATTATATACAGTATTCCCCCTCCTCTACCAGCAGCAGAATTTATTTCCTGCTTTAGTTTGGTTTTCTTTGTGTTTCTATTTCAGGCATTTTTTCTGTTATTTAATCCCTGTTTATGAATTACTATTTTAATATTAGAAATATATTGGATTATTGTCTCACATGTTAAATGCTAGTGATCATATTAATGATTTCACAAAAATTAAATTTGTTTTTGAAAATAATTAAAAAATTTTTTTAGCAGACTAACTTGTAAAATATGCATTTATTCTGAATCTGATGCCTGCAACATGTTCCAAAAATGTTGGGACAGGAGCATTCTTCTAACAAAACTCAGTAAGCCCTAATTACTAATTGCTTAAGAATTGAAAGTGAAATTCTGTCTCAAGATTCACAAGCGGGCTCCTTAAATCTTCAAAATTTAAAAGCTGTCAATGTGGAAGAATGGGCCAAAATCCTGTCTGAACACTGTGAGAGATTAATTTCTTTATACAGAAAGTGTCTTGAAGCTGGCATGCAAACAAAGGCCTCTTCAAGTATTAAATACATTTCGGTTAGCGTGTTCAATACATTTCTCCTCTGTCATTCAACTTTACTGCACATCATTTTTAGGGACCGAAATGTTACAATACCTTGATCTGTATAATTTTATTGCATTAATACCATAGTCTGGTCTAAATTTCAAGTGAATAACAGCATTAGAAATATGTTTAATGAAATGTCGAAAAGGAGTTGTATCCTTGTGTCTGATTGGTTAGTCCTACATGTAATTAATTTGATGGCCAACAGGGACAAATGTACCGCAACAGTCCAAAACATTTCCACCAGGAGACAGTGCTGCAGCTTCAGAAATAATAACAATTAAAAGACACATACGAAAACATATACTGCAAATCCCCGTCCTGGGGGAGCGCTAATTAGAACAACTGGATTTTCTACCAAGAGAGAGAAACCAGAAGAAAGGGTGTATCTGGTGTTTGGTTCTTAAGAATGAAGAAAACTGGAGAAAAAAAGGTACGGACTCTTTTATATTTTGGCCTTCGCCTTTTACAAGCATATACAAGAGCAACAGATTTACATAGCTCCCCCTAGAGGCTTGGAGAACTTTCATTTTGTTGACTGAATATGCAGTTTGTAGTTTTTGTTTTCATCGTTTCTGTATTTGCAGAATGTTTGTTGTTAAAGTATTTATTCTTTCTGCAGCATGTTTTTTCATTTGCAGCCCATTGGAATTTTGTATTTATTGTTCAATTGGCATCTTTTCTGAATCTGCAGCACGTTTTTCCTGAAGGGCCATTGTAGCCATTTGTCCTTGTCAGCCACCAAAGTTTAATCATATCATTTTCTTGATAGATATGTCTAACTCTTTACAGTCAGTGAAGAACGTTTTGCTCCCATGTTGGGTCTTAAGTGTAATTCTTCAGCGTTTGATCCATACAGACCCAGAGCAACTCAAAACAGATGGAAAGAAAGGAGCATCCGACCTTAAAAGGAAAGATGTTTCCCATCCTACACAAACATCAGCCTTAAATCTTTAAATTTGTGGTTCATACTATTTCCCCTCAGGACAGATGTTTTTGTTGTAATTGCAAACCACACAACACGAGGCAGAGGTTTGACACTACAATAAGAAACTGCAGCATGAGTCACAGCAGTGTTTTGTGTCACTCCTCTCTTCGTAGCTTTTTGCCTTGAGCAAACCGACCAAAAAATGATCCACTAAGCTGAAAATGTAACTAACACTCTTTCTTCGTAACAATACAGCTGTAGAGCTGCCGGGCTGTCAGGAGCTTTATTGCCAAGCATTGTTGCCAACAGCTCCCAGAGGAGATCCTGACCTGGCTGTTTCCTTCCACTCAGCATCCTTGCCATCCTTCACACAGATCTCATCCAGCTCAGTGAACAGCTCGTGGGCCACATGTTCAGCATCCTCCTCTGAGCCCAGGATGAACTGGACCCGCTGGGACGGTGTGTCTGATGAAGCGAGGGGATGTGAGGGAGGAACAAGAGGTGAACTGTGGCTCTCAAAAGACCTTTACAAACACACACAACACTGCCTCCTTTGTAAGAACATGTCTTTTAAATGACCATTGGGTCCATAACACACACACAGTCACACAAATCTATACACACACACACGCAACATGCTGACTCGTTCCTGCTCTTTGGAAGATAATTAGCAGGCTTGTCGATTTTAGCCTGGAGTGATCTGTGTGTATGTGCAAGTGTGTGAAGTGCCCACAGTATTGATAGGCTTTGTTCAACAACCACTACCTCCTCTCTGGGAGGTGGGTTTGCAAGTATACGAGTATAAGAGTCATGACCAAATATCTATTTCTTTTGCCCATCTCTCTCTCTGACTGATAGATGACTGGGTGAGCTGAAGAAATACTTTGATTTCAAAAGTAAAAGAAACCTGAGATGAGGTTTTTTTTGTGTGTGTGAGTGTGTGTTACCATGACTGGAGGTGGCTGTCTCACTTCCCTCGCTTTGTTGTGTTGCGACGCTTCCTGCCCTTCTGTCTTTCTTGCGGTGGCGAGAGCCGTGGGCCTTGTGGTGACGATGGCTCTGCCTAGGCATCCGGACGCCCACAAACAGAGTCCTGTGACCTGAGAAAGAGGCGAGAGAAGAGATTTCACTTTTACTTCTGAGTAATGCTTTTGTGTCTCCCAGCAGTGTGTGGTCACTTTATGTGATTTACCTTTGTATATTTTGTACAGTATTTGTGTGTAAATTGTTGTTAAGGAGCTGTATTTATTTAATTTGGCGTAAATTTGTGTTTTGTTTTGTTTTTAATCAAAGTTTAGGAGTGTAATGTCTCCCACCATGTATGCTATTTTTAATGTGATTTCTCATTGGTAGATGGTAAATGGACCTGCACTTGTATCGCGCCTTTCTAGTCTTCCAACCACTCAAAGTGCAAAGTCACATTCACCCATTCACTCACACATTCATACACTGGTGGCTGAGCTACCATACAAGGTGCCATCCCTACTCAGTTTTTAACACGCTCACACACCGGTGGAATAGCCATCAGGAGCAATTTGGGGTTCAGTATCTTTCTCAAGAATACTTCAACATGCAGACTGGAAGAACCAGAGATCGAACCGCTTATTATCAGCCAGTCTATCAGGAATCTTATTTGCCATCTGTAGTGCAGTTATTATAGAAACACACAAAACTAAGACTATTTGCATACCAATTACTCACCCCACGTTACGTTCAAAACTTTTTTTTTGCCTCCAGGGTGAACGAAGAATCCAAAAACAGAAAATTCTTGATGAACTAGAGTAAAAGTGGTCCGTGTTTAACAACAGCAAAACTATCCAAACCAGCAAAACATAAATTTACAAACTCTCACACACACTGTGCATTGTAATCCAAGTCTCATTTAGCCAGTCAGTACTTTCAAAATGCACATTTTAGCAAAAACCGTACTACTTAAAACCTTCTGCATGATTCCACCTGATATAGTTTTGCTGCTGTTAAACATTGCCCTCCTTTACTCCAAATCATCAAGAATTTTCTAAATTTTTGGATTTTTTGTTCACCGAGGAGGCATGTGAGGAAAAGCAAATTTTCACATATTAAATGTAACATGGATGAGTAACTGATAAACAGTCATTTTGTGGGTGAAGAATTCCTTTAAAGCTGTAAGCAGCAGACCAAAGGAGTCTGGAGAAAATGTATTTTCTTTTTAATTTGTACAAGAAGGTACAAAGCACAAGGATTGTGAACATTTTTATTTTCTTTATTTATGTTTTTTATTTGTAAAACTGAAGGTGCAAAACTTGAAAAACTGAATTTAGAGAACCATCCTCCCTCTTCACACGAGATTGTGTTCCTACATTCGCCACTAACACCATCATGAAATCAGTAGATGACACATCAATGATCGGGTTGATCTTCAACATCGATGAATCAGCCTACAGAGCGGAGGTGCAGAACCTGGTGGGCTGGTGCTCAGATAACAACCTGTCCTTTAATACAGGAAAGACCAAGGAGCTAATCATCAACTTTAGAAGGTCATATGATGAGGAGTACGCTTCAGTCTTCCTCAGTGGGGGCAGGGTTAAGAGTGTACAGCTTCAGGTTTCTGGACACACATGTCAGAAGACAGAACATGGTCCATTTACACCACTGCACTTCTACAGAGACACAGCTACATCTGTTTTTCTGAGGATACCGAAAAAGCACTGACTCAACAGATACTGGTGACCTTCTACTGCTGCAGCACAGAGAACATCTTAGCGGATGTTTTGATAAAGTTGCCTGTCTCATCCTAACATATTGCATCTCTGTGTGGTATCTCAGATGCACAGCAGTGGATAGGAAAGCCCTTCAGCGGGTCGTCTCCAGAGCACAGAAGATCATTGGGATACAGCTCCCATTCCCCAGAGGATATCTACAACACATGCTGCTTCAGAAAAGCCACCAGCATCTGTAAGGACCCCACGCACCCATGCCACCGTCTCTTTGAACTCCTTCCATCTGGCAGACGTTAAAAGGCCTTCTAAGCCTGCACCTCCAGACTGGGAAATAGTTTTTTCCCCAGAGCTACAGCAGCACTGAATCAGTCTGTTGGGTGCACCCTGTAATGTCAGCCACAACTGACTTTATTACAACACAGGTACTACATTGTGTGTTGCGTCTGCACTGTTTTCGTTACATTGTGATTACGTGACCTGGTAATGGGTTTATAATGAGAAATGGGAAGTGGAGAATAATAAAGTTTAAAGTACATACATGTGTTTACATTGAAAATAAAGTCTGGCAGAATCAAGAGAAGGAAGCACACTCCCTGTTGCCTGTTTCATTTTTTTCCTGTTCTTAACACAACAATATTATAATCTGACTACAGCTCTTACGCCCGGGGCCTGTTATACTTTAATACATATACATAGTGTCATGATTAACATTAAAATAAATATGTAAACATGTGAATCATTTAAGTGCAGCTGAAATACTGCTCAACAGAGAATGGGAATAACCATAAAACATCATTCTGGTGATATTAATGCCTATAAAGATACCTGCAACAAGGAGAAATACAGGGGAGGACCAAATAAAAAGTTTGTATATGAATAGTAAATAATAAAGAATGCTGTCTTTACATGAGCCTCAGGCCTTTCTGAACTGTCCCTATGTAACAGCAGCGGGAAAAAAAGGCCTAGTAAGAGCATAAAGTCTCACAATGAACTTGTTGGCAAGTTATCTGCAGAAGGTTGTGACTTAAACATAACTTCTGAATACATTTTTCACTTTAGCCTGAAGAGTATTATGAACATCGTTTTAAAAAAAAAAACAAAAAAAACAGATCAGCCCTTCAGTTTTGGGCTGCATCTTTACCAAATGTTGTTTTTAAACACAGGCTTTTGATTCTGCTTCCTGGCAACTTCCACCAAAACAAAACCAGGAACAAACCATTGTTACTTTTACATTTTGTTCCCTTCAAATTTGTTTGTTATTTGTACTTTTTTGTTGCTTTGTGTTTACTTGCTGTTAATTTTGGCAGTTTTTATAACGTGACTGCAGACTGTCTGATTAACGGACTTCTTTTAAAGCTGATACAGCCTGTAGAACTCTGTAGAATATTAATACACACTTATACCACATATACCACCAAAATACTATTACTACAATATCATTACTAAAATTAATGTTATTGTAGCTATTGTCATTACTGTTTGTCGTGCCCATCTCTCTGTCTCACTTTCCCCCTCTCTTACTCATTACTAAAAGTGCATGTCATCCAAGAGAAACAATAATAACTAAAGGAACAGTCAGAGTTGTCATATTGAAATTGAAGGTGTGCTTATGGATTCACATCGTCAACTCATGCATTGAGTAACATTACAAGTAAATATTCCATCTTAAATGCTGCTGGCAGTCGGCCCATTGAATTATTTTTCTCAGACTCCAGCTGCTGTGAGAGGCAGCAAAACATCCTGTCATTTTTATAGTTACAGCTTATTTATGTAAAACTCTCCACAGTATGAACAGTGGTTACATAAGCCTAAAACCAGCCACAACTCAGCCCTGAGCAGAGTGACCGTCCGCTATTGACCAATCAACAGAGAGCAGTGTTCACAGCTCCACCTTTTAGTGCCACATCTGTGTGCTTGGTACCCCAACAGAGGGGTGATCTAAAATGGGGACGGTACAGAATGTTTCCATTGGCACCATCCACAACTTTTCACAGTGGATACAGAAAAAAAGCATACAGAACTATGTTGATATGTTCTGTACCCAGGACATCTGTTGCATGTCTGTCCATACTGGAAGAGGGATCCCCCCTCAGTTGCTTTTCCTGAGGTTTCTACCATTTCTTTCCCCATTAAGGGTTTTTTTGGGGAGCTTCCCTTATCTGCTCTGAGGGTCCAAGGACAGAGGGATGTCATATGCTGTAAAGCCCTCTGAGGCAAATTGTGATTTTTGATATTGGGCTTTATAAATAAAATTGAACACCCAGCCTACTTCACTCTCCTGTCGTTGGGTTGTGGTGTGTGTGTCATCCACTCTCTAAATATATACATACGTACATTTCATTTCAGACTTTCTGATGACAAAATATAAAATCCTTATTAGCCGAGGATAAAACAGGCATCTTCCTGTGTTCCAGATGGAGAGAGAACATGTGCTAACGGAGGAAGACAGAGTTGATTGAGGTGCACTGCGGTCTCTCAGCTCAGATGGTTAAAGGAACTGAATGTGAAAGCCATTAAACCGAGGGTTAGGTGTTGGCCCAAAGCTCCACGGGGAGAATCAGGGAATAACTCTTTACTTCCTGCCTGATACTAGTCTCAACCTCTGCCACCTGTGATTATCATCAGTGCATTCAGTGTTTCACACAACATGCTGTGATAACAGCAGACTGAAAGCTCATGATGCAGACAATAATGGAGTTTATTTGAATATCAAAGCAGAGCCTTTTAAAATTAAAGAATGAACAGTGGAAGTAATCAGGCAATTAATGAAATTGTTTGGCAAATTGTTATGAATAAAATGGAGGTGTGTGTGTGTGTGTGTGTTTGTTTGTTTGTTTGTTTGTTTGGGCATGAAAAACATAGTTTGGGGTGCATCGAGGACACAAAGCTACTGGGCTGGAGCTGAGTGTTCAATCTCTGAACGTGTTATTATCTCTCCATGAAAGAAAGAATGGGGTGACTCTCTCTCTCTCTCTCTCTCTCTCTCTCTCTCTCTCTCTCTCTCTCTCACACACACACACACACACACACACACACACACACACACACACACCTGTCTTCACCTACCGATGACAGATCAGCCCCCAAGCCTCCTTGGGGTAGATGGAAGATTCATTTTTAATGTTCAATTCATCTCCACCAGACAAGGAGACAAAATAACATCCCCATGTTCTCACAACAACTCACACTATAAACTATCTACACACACACACACACACACACACTCTCACAAGAATGATAGAATTGACTCAATCACGCCGAAATATATTGTTTGGCTTCATGAAATATACATGTCTTAGGGGATCTGCTGAGGCTGAGGTCATGTAATTTAACTAACTGAGGAATATACTGCCCCTACTCAAGGTGTAGGTACTTTTTCTTAAATATATCCATTGTTTATG